TTCCCACCAAGGTGACCAGAGGTGAGAGCCCAGGAGGGCTGCTCTCCTCCCACCTGCAGCCTGGGAGGTGCCAAGAACCCTGTGACTTACGGGAGTGTCTGAGGACTGGCCTTTCCAGCCAGGACTAGAGACAGGACCTCCCCCCAACACTCAGTTCCCAGGGGCCAAGAAAGGCTTCCAGGCAACCAGTCACCCCACTTTTCCAAGGGGACAGTGAGGCAAGGTGGTAACTTTGCCTCTGCAGTCACGGCTCCCTGCAGACTGGGTCAGCTGGGCGGGATCTGCTCTGAACGGGACCATGTGGGCCAGGCCTCTTCCTGGGCCAACCCCTGGCTCTGCCCATGGGCTGCAGGGCCCCAGGCTGCTCCACTCTCCTGTCCCTCGGCTCTACCCCTCACTTTCAGGTCTCAGGTCAAATCTCACCTCTTCCACGAGGCTTCCCTGACCTCCAGATGAGCTCTGGCCTGCTCAGCCACCTGTTTATTTCCTTTCTGGCATTTATCACAGCCCACGTGTCTTTATTGGCTTGTTTTCCTCTTCACACTCTGTCTTCCTACGCTGCCATGTAAGTGTCTGGAGGACAATGCCCTCATCTGCTTTGTGTCCCAGCACCTAGAGTTGGGTCTGGCACATAGGAGGAGCTCCAAAATATATGTTGGATGAGTCGGTGGGTGGAGAGCTGTCAGGCTCTCCTGAAGTGCCTCATTGTTACCACCCATCCACATGGGCATAGAAGCTACACTGACTGGCTTGCCGGGGCTCCGCCTGGCTCTCACACAAACCCAAATTCTGCCGCCATGTCCCAGGCACTTGGGTGGTCTCTGCAATGAGGGAGTTGACATTGACCACATATTCTGTCTGAGGACCACCTTGGGCATGGCTGAGAGTGTAAGTCATCTTGGGAGGGTGGGGGAAGGGAGTACTGGGACCATTACCTGCAGCTCCCGGATGGCACACCCCACATGTCTACACACCTCTGTACACACACTGCTCTTCTAAAGGCAGGTCCTCAGCTTTGGGTCTGCAAACAACCTGACCCTGACCCAGGCTATGGGCTACAGCCCCTGGTGAGTTTATATGATACACAGAAAAGAAAGCCTGTAATCCAGCTGTGTCTGCTGGTGGTGGGCACGTGGTTCCTGTCTGCAGTGCCTTCTGTCTGCAGAAGGTGGAGCCTGTTGTGCCAGGCTGGGGTTCAGGACGGGCAGCGCGGAAGGTGGCTGGCTCTGGGCACTGCGCATGCCTCTGCATCCAAGTCCGCCGTTCCCATCTGCGTTGGGCCTTGCTGAGTATGCGGCCACCTTAGAGCCAGAAGTCACCTCACTGTGGCTCTATGGTGTGTGTGGGGTGGGGGGGGGTAGCGGGGTCTGGCAGTCCTCTGCTGGGGTCTGAGGGCCTGCAGGAGGAGGCCCAGGCAGTGCTGCTGATGAGACCTGGAGTGGGCACCTCCCAAGGCCGTGTAAGGAGAGGGGCTCTCCTCAGGAGTCAAGGCGAGAACGAGTTCTCACACAGAGATGATGCACTGGACAAACATGCTTGCAGGCAATTTAGCATCCCAAAGTGGAAAGTAATGGGCCTCCTCTCATGTGCAATCCAGGGCACAGTCCTGAGAGGGGACCTGGCATAGGTTTACTCTGTGCCAAGGAACCGGTTGTCTGTGCTCTGGTGCAGTCAGTGGTGAGAGAGACTTCCTGCTTGGGTGAAGGAATAGGACTCACCTATACTCTGAGTTGTCCGTCCCATGTCCGTGAGGCTCGAATGGAGACTCCTTACCTGAAGCACAGAGGAAATCTGTAGCTCTTACTGGTACAAACGGACTTGTTTCTCCTCCTGTCATAACTTTCGTGTAACAATTCCCATTTCTGATCATGTTCAGTAAATTCAATGAGTGTGGAAAAGCAGCTTATTTGGTACGATGATCAGTTTCTCACCCAGGTAAACGACTTTCTTGATGACTATAAATTAAACAGGTTATGTCTTTTGCATGCATCATGGTTGCCTCGTCAACACTGGGGCAGTCACGGGTGGTCTCATCTGGTTACCTTTCCCACTGCTGTTTTAGCATCATCCCGGTAGGGAGGGACTTCAGAGACCACCAAAGCTCGCTCTGGACAAGGAGAACCCCTTTAAATCCATCCTGTTTTAGTAACAAGGAGGCAGTTGTGACGGGGGCTTGTTTAATGAGGAAGCCACGGCTTGTGGGCGTCTCTGTGGCCAGGCCCGTCCCGGTGTGCGGTGTTCCTAGCTTGGCGCAGGCCTGTTGTCCGCAGGCCGGGAAGCGGCAGGGGCAAGGCTTTAAAGCAACGTTTACCTTAATTGCAAATATGAGGAATCAATGATCTGCTGACAGCTGATTCCATGTCAGAGAGAACCTGAGTGTTTTGACCACTTCCACGAGCCCGGCGGGCACGTTTTCTGAACACGATGGCCTCAGTCACACTGTGAGCGAATGAAACGTGGGCATTGGCAGCCCCACACGCAGTGCTGCTCTCCCGAGGCGTTCACTGTGGTTGTGCCTGCGGGTGATTCTAAGGAGAAAGGGTCAGGAGAGGGGTTCTCCCCATCCAGAGCGAGCTGGCTCTGGTGGTCTCCAGACTCTGGTGCCCTTGCCCCAGAAAGCCCACCTTCAAGGACGCCTGTCCCCTTTGTGCCACCATCCTTCCAGCTTCCCTCCTGCCCCCTTGGAGGAGGCCAGAGGAGATGCATCCCTCAAAAGGTCACTGCATGGGTGACCCTCCCCACCCTCATCATCTCAGCCTCTAGCCTGGGGTCTGAGCAGTGGCAACATCTGCGTTAAGGAGATCAGCTTTTAAAACTGTTGGGTTTCTTAAAACCTGAGTGTACAGGGGCCATGTGAGGACAAAGGCCCTGCCCCTGAGGGGTCTCCAGAGGCCGGAGAGTGCGGCAGACACTGTGGGGCAGGAGGATTCAGAGAGGGGCACTTGGAGAGGAGATGGCAGGAAAGGGACCCAGGTGTGAGGTGGAGCTGATTTATGCGTCAAGAGCACAGCCTGGGTGGGCAGCACAGCGGAAGCAAAAGAGACCACAGACTCAGAAACCTTGACTCTTGTTTCTTTTCCAAATGGAGCAGTTAGTGGGTGCCCTTTCCATCACACACGGCAGTTTATTAAAACGGCGATGCAGTGGCAATGTGCTGTGTCCTGGCGCTGTGTGCGGGAAGAAGGAAATGCTGACCTTTGCACAGCTGTTAGTTTCTTCTAGTAGCCGCCAGCGCTTTCCCAGGAAACCCATTTTCCAGGAATCAGGCTCATCAAACACACTTTGTGGCGAAGCAGCCATAAACACCGGGGTGGGGGCCTCCAGCCCAGAGCCCCCCTCCCTCTGCCATCAGCCTTGACAGGAAGCTGTGCACTGCGGCTGCTGAAGGCCACGGAGCCTTCGCGGTGACACGCGAGCAATTAGCGGAGTGGATAAAGGACATTCACTCGCCCCCGTAGGATCCGCACTTTTACACTGCTTGGAGATATTTTGACCTTCTAGTTTATTATGATTCAAGAAAAAGTCAATATTTCTTAGCTTGCCAAGGCCGGAGGAATTTAAATGAGTTATTGAATCAAGCACTTAATCTACCGATAACTGATTCTTTTCCTTTCAAATCTATAATGATGAAAAGCAGGCTTAACCAAAAACAAGAAAAGGAAGGTTCTTTTTTTTTCCTCCCGTAGACAATTTTAGCCCATGGGATAGGAGCTGAGGCTGGAAGTGCAGGCTTGAGTGTCAGGGCCATTCTGTTTTGCTGAGCATTTTGAAGGTTTCATTAAAACTTAAAAACAAAACTTCTGTGGCCGTGAAATCTGCATTCATGCTTTAATTTGATATCCCTTTATAATCCTCAACTTCCTATCTGTTGCTATCAATGCCACGTGCAGTCAGCCAGTTTCCTGGGCTCCCGTGGCCGTGTGTGATGCTGTGGGAGACACTTGCTTGGCTTTTCACGAAGCGGACCCCACTCAGCATGAGCCAGTCTCCCCTCCTCCTGCCTGTTTGGCCCTCTGAGCTCTGGGCACCACTGCCTGAGATCATCATGGGCGTGTGCTGGGTGCAGGTTCTCAGCCTTCTTGCCAAGGCTGCAACACTGTGCTGGGAGGGACTAGGCCAGCCGTGAGCAAACTACGGCCCGTGGGCCGGATCCGGCCCGTTTGAAATGAATAAAACTAAATGAATAAAACTAAAAAAAAAAAAAAGGCCGTACCCTTTTATGTAATGATGTTTACTTTGAATTTATATTAGTTCACACAAACACTCCATCCATGCTTTTGTTCCAGCCCTCCGGTCCAGTTTAAGAACCCATTGTGGCCCTCGAGTCAAAAAGTTTGCCCACCCCTGGACTAGGCAGTGGAGAAAGCTGCAGCCGCCACCGCAGATGATGCGCTTCCAGGGAGCTCTGGCCTCCCTGCCCTGACCGCCCTCCGCCCCATCCTGACACCACTTCCTCCTCACTCTACACTTCCACCCTAGATCCCGCAGCGGCTCCCCAGGGTCTAACATATGGGAAATTCCTCTGCCTGGCTTTCTCAGTCCCCTGGAACCACACCTTGCTCCCCTTCACTGGCCCACGCCTCAGCCCCTGCGCAAAGCTCCTCCTCACCTCAGGTCTCCTCCCTGCAGAGTGTTATGGGAGCTTGACTCAAGCCTCCACATCTCTTAGGAGGTCTCCTGCTCTCAGGCGGCAGGGCCCACGGGCACTTTGCCACCTCCATGTAGTCCTGTCTACTTCTCCCTTCCAGATGGCAGGGCTCCTGTTTGAAAGGTTTGGTGTGAGCCATAAAAACCGGGCTCTACACTGCAGGACACTGCTCTTGGCACTCACAGCCGCCTCCTGTTGGAGGGAAGGGACTCCTTCAGGCACCCGAGCCCCCAGGCCTCGGCCTCACAGGCAAATGGAGCCTCTGCTCGCCAGGACTTGAAAGAGCCACCAAGGACGCCCAGGACCCCACCCGCGTGCCTGCAGCTGACCTCTGTGTTTGTGTGCCTGGCAGGGCTCTCCGACCATGACTGGCTGCGGTCCTCCTGCGGGAAGAAGCGGTGCGGCCGCGGGAGCAGGTGCACGCTCAGCCGGGAGACGGGGGAGCCCGAATGCCGGTGCCTGGAGGCCTGCAAGCCCAGCTACGTTCCCGTGTGCGGCTCCGATGGGAGGTTCTATGAAAACCACTGTGAGCTCTACCGCGCCGCGTGCCTGCTGGAGAAGAAGATCGTCATTGCCCACAGCAAGGACTGTTTCCTTAAAGGTAGGAAGGTGGCTTCAGGCCACCTGTGATTTGAGCTTTGGGTGTGCTTCTTCTAATGCCCTTCTGACCACCGACCCGGTGCTGAGTTTATAGGCTAAAGTGTAAAGGCAATAGAGAAAGAGGAAGGCTGGGGCCTTCACAGCGTGGCAGCGGTTGCATTTTGGAGATGCAGGTTCTGTTGTGGCCACCTGCCCTCGAAGAGCAGGATCCAGGGAGGCTCAGGGATGCCCTGGCTGCCATGGGGCACAGAGGAACCAGCCACAAGGTGGTGCCCAGGCCTCTCACTCACATGGGGCGGGCCCTGTCGGGGTGCTGATAGGGCCTGCATGTACCCCCTGGACAGAATCTCATGAATCAGGACCACCTGTGCATAGCATGTGGCCAGGTGGACACCAGCACAGTGGGTCCCAGCATGTCAGGCTCTCGAGCTCTGGCCTGTAGTGGCTGCTGGTGGAACAGCACTCCATGCCTGGCCTGGCCTGGCCAGAACACCCTGAGCAAGACAGGGAGGCCCTGAGTGGACATCAGAACATGTCCATGGAGTCGGGGCCAAGGGGTTCGTGCTCCGTGCTGGGATTGATCAGAAGAGAAGGGCAGTGGGAGTTCCGGCTGGAGGGATAGAGCCTCGGGCAGGGCCTAGGGCTCTTCACACCTGATCCATTCTCAGCACCTGGCACAGTGCCTGGCACCAAGGAGACACTCAGTGGCTCACAGATGCTGGAAGGTGTGAGAGTTAGAATGCAAATTCCCGTGTTGGTGTGGCCCCAATGAATGGTGCATGGTACACGGTACACAGTGTGACAGGCGTGTTTCAGCAGTAGAGCACAGGTCTGTGGCTTCTGCCCATGCCACCTGTGCTCACGTGAAGGGCCTCCCCAACTCGGCCACGGGCTGTGGCAGCAGGGAGCCTGGGAGCACTCGGGGCTCTGGAAAGCCAAGTTTATCCCTGACGGGAACAGCCTTGGGCCCTTTCATGGCTGTGCTTGTGACGCTAATGCTGAGGTGCTCCAGAAATCATGAGGCACATTATGGAAATGAGGCCAAAACAAGCCCAGGAAAAATGTCCCTGGCCCGGGAGCACTGCCCGGCGCGTGCTGCGGAGGCCCCAGCAGCGGTGAGCTCTCAAACACTTGACCGGTTGCTCTGGCTCTATTGGCCGTGTTGCATTTTATAGACTGATGTTCCGTTCTCCGGTTTCCAATATCCCCCAAGTTGCATCTTCCTGAAGGTTTTCATTTCTGCCTCAGAGTATGCCCGCCTCCCTGCCCGTCGGTTATTCAAACAGCATTTCTCATTTCATGCGAGGGAAACACAGCCACCACACAACCCAGGAGGGATGGGGCGCGGGGTGGGCAGATTCGGGTCCTGTTTCATGCTGATTGACTTTATCCACCAACTCCTCCTGACTTGTTGAGTTCTGCACAGATTTTGTGAGTCCCCACCCACAAAGGTCGCTGTCAGTGGAGAACAGGATTTGTGAGGCCCCAGAGGTTGCAGATCAGCTCTGCCACATCCCGGCTGTGTGGTCTTGGGTGCATGACTCCACCTCTCTGAGTCTTTTCTCAGATGTAAAATCAAGGCTACCAGCAGTACCCACCTACTCTGTGGAGAAAAGTGCATGAGATGCTCACAGAAACCACTGAAGATGTGCGGGCACATTACAGGTGTTGGTATTAATGACACCTGTTGTCATCCTGCATCTAATCCCGTGTGGCCTTGGGCCTAGAGCAGGGAGACGCATAAACTGCAGGGTCCTCAGAGGCAGCAGCAAGCTCTGCCCAGCAGGGCTTGGCAACGTGTCTGGGTCCAGGTGGCTTCTGGTAGTTGGAAAGTGGGTGTGGAAGGCCCTGAGTTGGCTGATGCTGTCTCGGAGATGCCCTTCCTGCAGGCCTGGCCCGTGGGTCGGGCCCACGGAGAAGCCTTCCCAGCCTCAGGCTCAGGGTCAGCTGCAGGCCCTGGCCGGAGGGGGTGAGGGTGGGGGTGGGGGTGGGGGTGTCTTGGAAGAAAAGAGGGTGTAAAGGACAGCTTCCCGCAGTGTCGCCCCCACGATGGCAGGGTAGTCTTTAATACCATCTTGAGCTCCTTGACGATCATTTATCTTTTGTCCCAAATCACCAGGGAGTTATTAATACAGGAAACTTAAAAACACCTTTTTTCCCCCCCACAAATAAAAATTTTAAAATCATCTGTTCCATTCTCTAGTCCTACCAGACTTTACAAAGAGAAGCTATGACTTCATTCTCTAGGTTTTATCTGTCGCCAGAAGTCCTTTTGGGAAGGAGGCGGGGTTCACACCTCATGGGGACACAGGGCCTCGCCACTCTGCAACCTTCTCAGCCCCATGGACAACAGAACTTCTGGTATGACAATCCAGTTGCCATGGCAATAGGGTGCCTTGTGAACGCGGAAGGAAATACCACATCATTTAGGGATCATTAGCATGTGGGAAATCAAAACTGAACTCAGAATCATTGCTTCAGCTCGCCTTTGCAGCCCCGGCCCCAGTGCTCCGGAAGTCCCAAGCAGGGTCTCTTGCCGAAAATCGGGGTTCAGAGGATATAGGATGTGGTATCCCTTTCTTCCTGTGGCAAAATTGGAGTCATTAGTTGTTCTCAGCCCCAAAGACGGCCAGAGAATACCAAGATAGTGGGTGGGATTCCCTGTAACGTTCGCTGCTTATAGTGTTTTAAAAGTTGTCGTGTGACATGGGTTCCTATTTGTGTACTAGTTGGCGCTTTTTAAATTATTTTTCTGACTCGGTTTTGAATTCACGCTTTATCTCCTACGCTGTTCGAGAAGAGATGGCCTTTCAGCAATCGCTCACCACGCCGGGGCTGTATTATCCCAGATGATACAATGTCATAGTCTGCAGGTTTCCAAACAAACCATGAAATTATGGAAGAAAGGAGCCTCTTAGGGGTTCAGTCGTAAATGGACCTCCAGCTTCTCATCCCATGTGCTGCTGTAGGTTCTTCAGAGGGGGGTGCACAGGCTCATGAAATCAGAGGAAATAATTTTCATTTTTGACAAAAAAATTTACTATAGGCTCACCAACAAATCTTTTGTTGTTACTAAACACAAGAATAAAAACCCAACCTTTTGTTGCACCAGCAGAGCAGCTAGATCTTACTGCCAAGGAGACTTCTTTTTTCTTTTCTCGTTGTTACTCTGAGTCTTGTTGCTTTAGGAACGTAAATTAAGCCCCAGGCCTGCAGGGCATTTCTGCACTTCCTGCCAGTTACCTCTTCAGCTGCAGACCCAGCTCGCCAAGGTGTGTGAGATCCTGGCACAGGGTCCTGACTCGCAGGAGTCTAGGGGGTTGGGTTTCCCTCTGCTGGAGCGGGTCCCTACTGTAGGAAGGTAGGTGCTGGGGCCTGCGGGAGCATCATGGGGCTGAGGGGGGGCAGCAGGCACAAACTCAAGGGCACCGGCTTCAGATCCATCATGGAGCCATGCCACACCTCTTTGGATGAGGCATGTAAGCTCTCTGCGCCTCACTTGCCTCATCTGTAAAATGGGAATGATAATCCTACCTACCTCAAGGCGCAGTGCCCCGAAGAGTGAGCACTCTTCTCTGAGCGTAATCGACAGCAGTCAGGTTGATGGTGATATCGTTGCAAACATCAGGGCACATTTGAGGGATGGATGCAAGAGGACGAAAGACCCCTGCCCACACAGGCAATGCCATATACGGGCTAAGCGATCAGGTGAGGGGTGGGGGGTGGATACTCCAGTGAATGAGCAAGGTGAAAGAAGAATGTTGGCCCTTTATTTAACGGATGACTGGAATTTGACCTGCAAATGATCAAACTTAAACCACCTTCTCCAACTGCCTTGCTTTTTGAAAGAGATGTAATGAGTCGTCCAATCTCACCTAGCAAGGTGTGAGAGAAAGAAGAGGAGAATCAAGAATCCCGATTCCAGGTCTAGAGCAGGTTTCTGGGATGAATGAAAGTCTCTCAGGAACTGTCAGCTGAGCCTGAGGGAGGGGTTGTCTGCCTGACAGGAGAAGGGGAACATCTAGGGAAGGAGCTGGAGAAGAGACATTCGAGGTGCATCTCGAAGAGTGAGAGGGGGCATCCTAGATGCAGGCAGGAAGTGCCTGCAGACCCAGGGGGCAGCCAGTGGTTAGAAGGCAGGTCCCATAGGGGAGAGCAGCTGGGGATACATGCCGACAGCGGGTAAGGGAGAGCTGAGGAGGCCTGTGTGCCAAGCCTACCAGGTGTCAGGTAGCTACTCCAGCTTCCCCATTCCCCAGATAGGCACCTTGAGGCCTGAACAACACAAAGCAGTCCCTGCCCATGTCCCACAGGCCCTGCCCATGTCCCACAGGCCCTGCCGCTGCAGCCCGCCCTTCGCAGTCACCCACAGCTGTGGGGGTGTTTGTGCAGCAGGCATGTTCACAGCAGATGCGATAGCCTCGTCCTGCTCCCCAGAAGGCTTCCTGGTGAGGAGGGAGCGCTCCGAGCCATGGTGGCGGGGAGGCTTCGAGGTGCCGGCCTGGGGTCCCAGCAAGAAGCCCAGCCAGGGCTCCTCCTGGAAAGGGGGGTGTCATCCAAACTCACAGGCCTCCAGACATCAGAGCACCAGGCCATGCTGTCCTCTAGGGAAGGAGCTACGGGAGGAGCCCAGGACAAAGCAGCAGTGACCCCTCCTGCCTGGCCTGGCTTCTTGGCACTGGCCGCCACCCTCCAACCTTCTTCCTGTTTCCATTTTTTTCCACTTGTCCTTCCCCTCCTGGCCCCACCCACATTCTGTCCTGAGGCCACTGCTGCCCCGTGGCTGCTGCAAAGGGATCTGCCTGCACCCAGTGTCCTTCCATTTCACCAAGCCACCCAGCTTCACAGCCATTATTGACTGTCGGCTGGGGACCGAGGCTGTGCAGGGCCTGAGGAGACAGTATGATCAGGATGCTGGGCCGACCTGGCGGAATCGACCAGTCCCAGCACCCCCACTCTCTGGGCCATCATGTGGGAGCTGCTCTAGCCAGAGACACCGCC